ACTACTACTACTAATACTACTACTAGTACTAGTACTAGTACTAGTACTAGTACTACTACTACTACTACTACTACTACTACTACTACTGCTACTACTGCTAGTACTACTAGTACTACTACTACTATTACTACTACTACTACTACTACTACTACTACTACTACTACTACTACTACTACTAGGGCTGATATTACCCTGCTTGCCCAATTTATTCCTTGGAAGGTCGGAAGGGTGGGTGGTGGGGATCCTGAGGAGGGGAACTGCTGTGCACGAAAAATACACGAAAACCATACGACTACCATACGATTATCATACGACTACCGTACGATAACCATACGACTACCATACGATGACCATACGATTACCATACGTTTACCATACGACTACCATACGATTGCCATACGATTACCATACGATTACCACACGATTACCATACGATTACCATACGATTACCATACGATTACAACTACGATTACAACTACGATTACAACTACGACCATACGATTATCACACGATTACCGTACTATTACCATACGACTTCCATACGATTGCCATACGAAAATCATACGAAAAACCATACGAACACCATACGGACACCATACGAAGACCATACGATTACCACACGGTTACCACACGAAAACCATACGGTCACTATGCGAAAACCATACGATTACCATACGAAAACCCTACGATTGACCAGCGAAAAAAAAAACAATCGATTACCACGCGATTACCAGACGACTATCATACGAAAACCATAAGATCACCATACGAAAACCATACGATTACCCTACGAAAGCCATAAGGGAACAAAAAAACAAAATGAGCCTGACGAGAGACCCAACCATATGCAGGTGCGAGTACCGCAATTGTGATGCACGTTTCCGGTGGTGATCCCTATGAGGCAACGAACCATGCTAGTGGTGTGCCGAAATGAGTGGCGTGGTATACAACGCGAACGAAAACGATTGATCTGAGTACGTAGGGAAAGGGAGCGCGGGTGAATGCGAGTGTGTCTGACTGTGAATGAATCTGCGTGCGAGCGAGTCTACGTACATGAATGCGAGTATGACAAGGCACGGTGTCATTGCATATGAATGTCGATAATTTGAGAACGGCTGCCTCCGAGTACTCGTGACGCTGGGCGTGGCCGCCGCAAGGACCTTCCCCGGGACTCCCCGACGGCATCGCCGCGACGTCAATGTCGGCGCGCCCCCCCGCGAGGATCGCGCCCGCTTCCTCCCCTTCTTTTACTCCCTCTTTGCCCGCGCACTCAAAAGTCCAAGACTGCGGGCGCAGCGGGAGGAGGAGGAGGAGGAAGAGGAGGAGGAAGAGGAGGAGGAGGGGGAGGAAAAGGATGAGGAGGAGGAGGAGGAAGAGGACAAGGAGGAGGGGGATGAGGAGGAGAGGGAGGAGGAGGAGGAGGAGGACAAAGAGGAGGAAGAGGATGAGAGGAGAGGAGGAGAAGGAGAAGGAGGAGGAGGGAAGGGAGGGGAGAGGAGGAGGAGGAGGAGGAGAGGAGGAGGAGAGAGGAGAGGAGAGGAGAGGAGAGGAGAGGAGAGGGAGGAGGAGGAGGAGGAGAGGAGGAGGCGAGGAGAGGAGAGGAGAGGAGAGAGAGGAGAAGGAGAGGAGAAGAGAAGAGGAGAGGAGAGGAGAGGAGAGGAGAGGAAGAGGAGAGAGGAGAGAGAGAGGAGAGGAGAGGAGAGGAGAGGAGAGGAGAGGAGAGGAGAGGAGAGGAGAGGAGAGGAGAGGAGAGGAGACTCTGGGCGCTGTCTCTTCAAAACGAAGACCCAACACCACAGGATGGTTGGGAAAAATTATCAGGACGAAAGACCCAACCATATGCAATTGTGATTAACGCGTTATGGGTGCCGCTTTCGAAGGCTCCCTTTGGGGCCACGAAACGCGTGAGGAACGTGCCGCCATCGGTGGGGGAGACGCATGCGGGCAGTGCCACTGGGGCCTTCGGTGGAGCTCCCTATGAGACCACGAAGCGCTGTACTGGGTGGTGGCTGACGCATGCGGGCGGTGCCCCTCGCTGGAGCTCCCGATGGGGCCACGAAACGCTATACTGGTTGGGGGAAACGCATGCGGGCGGTGCCACTGGGGCCGTCGGTAGAGCTCCCTGTGGGGCCACGAAACGCTGAACTGGGTGGTGGCTGACGCATGCGGGCGGTCCCACTGGCACCTTCGGTGGAGCTCCCCATGGAACCACGAATTGCCTTACCGGGTGGTGGCTGACGCATCCGGGCGGTGCCACTGTGGCCTTATGTGACGCCCGCGGTTCCACAGGGGCCGTCGGTGGGGCTCCCTATGGGGCCACGAAACGCTGTACCTGGTGGTGGCTGACGCATGCGGGCGGTGCCACTGGGGTCGTCGGTGGAGCTCCCCATGGAGCCACGAAACGCTGTACCTGGTGGTGGCTGACGCATGCGGGCGGTCCCCCTGGGGCCTTCGGTGGAGTTCCCTATGGGGCCACGAAACGCTGTACTAGGTGGTGGCAGACGCACGCGGGCGGTCCCACTTGGACCTTCGGTGAAGCTCCCTATGGGGCCACAGTGCGGGCGGTCCCATTGGGACCTTCGGTGGAATTCCCTATGGGGCCACGAAACGCCGTACCGGGTGGTGGCAGACGCATGCGGGCGGTGCCACTGAAGCCTTCGGTGGAGCTCCCTATGAGGCCACGAAACGCTGTACTGAGTGGTGGCTGACGCATGCGGACAGTGTCAGTGGGGGCTACGGTGGAGCTCTCTATGGGGCCACGAAACGCTGTGATGGGTGGGTGAAACGCAGGTAGGAAGAAGGAGGGGGAGGAAGGAAGGAGGAACGCGGGCACCGTCTCGCCAAAACGAGGGCCCAACACCACAGGATGGTTGGGACAAATAACCCGACAATATTCGAAAAATCGCCCCCAGACTATTTTTATACTATGTTTGAACGCTCCTCCTGTAGAGGAACAGGCCCGACTTAGCCCTAGGGGCCTTCCTCTTGAATCCGGAACCGCTCGTGGACGGACCCGAGGCCCCGGGGGGCCACAAACAGCACGCAGAGGGCAGCTGCTTGCCGCAGCTCGGACGTCCACTCCCCGTGCAGTGGTTCGGCTTCGTGCGCGCGCTTTTTTGTTTGGCGCGACGAGGATCCACATTGTGCTCCTCGATGGCCCCTGCCGATAGACGAGCGCGTTCCACTACTCGCAAAGTAACCACTCGCAGATGGCCTGGATCTGCCTCGGGGAAGCTTCAATACATTACATCGAAGCGGACATGCGTGTTCGGGGACGTTTGCGAATAGGCACTTGGCGAGTAGTGGAACGCGCTCGGTGAGCCGAGGAAAAGTGCACACGCTCGAGCGAGCGACGCCAAGTGGACGGACCCACGGCCCAGGGGGCCAACAATACCGCGCAAAGGCATCCCTGGACGCCGCCAACTCGCGCCTGGCTGGGGCCGTCCTGGGCCCCCGGCCTGGCGGGCACGCCCTCCAGGCGGGAAGGGGCCTGCATGGCGTCCTGGGGCACAGGAGGGCCCTAGCCAAGCACTGTCGTGGCGTACTCGGCGGCGGGCAGAAGGGGGGAAGCGAGAAGGAGAAGGCCCTCTCAGAGGGCAGCGGGGCTTCTCCGAAGCCCTCGGGCCTCCTGAGAAGGTGTTGTCGTGTCTCCGGGATGAGCTTGGAGAACTTCTCAGAAGGCCGGGGAACTTCCGAGCCTTCTGGGAAGCCCTTCCCCCTCTCACTTCCCCCCCTCGCTCGCCGCCGAATATACATGCCTGCCGCTTCGAGTGATAAACGTAATCCTCACGTAGGCCCTCCTGTCACTTCGCGCCGCGTCGCTCCAGAAGCGGCCTGATAGTACACTTGCGGGGAAAGGCTGGCGTGCGGTACAATTTTTCTCTCGTGGCCCACAGAATATCCAACGGATAATTCGGTAATCCTTCGGGCTCGTCAGGTTACCCATTACAGCCCATCAAAGTCCTCGCGGATTCCTCAGCAAGAATCCCTAAGTACTCCACAAGACTCCGTCGGGTTGCTCTGGGTCCCAAAAAATCCTCTGGATTCATCTGGAATGTTCGGGACGGGTTCACGTCCCTCACGATTTCAGGATAGATTATTTCAGTGTCGTCTGGATTCCTCAGGTTTCTCCCGAATTCCGCGTGGGCCCTCAGGACTCCACGATGTTCCTTAGGATTCCTCATGGTTCTTCCAGGTTCGCAATTTCTTCCAAGTTTTCAGGACCGGAATGGAGTCCCCAGGGATCCGAGGGTTCCGAGGGGATCCCAAGGATCCCTCTGGATTCTTCCAGATATGAAAAGCATCATGGCACGGCAATGCTAAGACGGGACACTAGAGGAATGCAGTGGGCACGCGATCGCCATACGAAAGGACAGATATGGTAACACGACATGCGTACGGTACAAACGCTACGGGCGAGCGGTAGCTAGACTGCAGGGAACTGCAAGAGCTCCACAGACGCATGCTGCAGGAACAGAAGCTCTCACGATGCGTACCGCATGGACGCACACTGCACACTGCAGCAGCGCCGCGAGCGCGCCGCCTCGCGCGTCTGTCCTCCGCGAAGCGTGGCGCATAGAATAATTTAAGCACGATACGAGGGTCGGCAGAAGGCGATGGGAGACCACGGCAACTCAAAATCGATCCCCGGACCCCAGGGGGCCACATGCGAACCCTACCCCTACCCCCCACGATTTCTGAGGGGGAGGGTGGGGTTCACTCCGCTCGGGAGCTCCCGAGCGAAGTGAACCCCACCCTCACCCTCATAAATCGTGGGGGGTAGGGGTAGGGTTCGCATGTGGCCCCCTAGATTGGAGACCACGGCAACTCAAAATCGATCCCCGGACCCGTCACAGGAGTCCAAACGCGCACCAGCTCTCCAGACCGCCTCGGGCCGTGGCGACGAGTGGCCCCCCGAAGGCGAACTGCCGCTATCTCAACTCGCCCTCCTCTGCGAAGGCCCGCCAGCACCGCCGCACCCGCCCGCGTTCAGCGGTTTGGACGACCGAAATGAATACGGAAAACATGGGTACGATGCCCAACAGCAAACGTGGTCAAAAACCGACAGCGACGCTGTTGGGCAGCCAGCAGTCTGTCTCAAATGGACACCATCCGCGGGGACTCTCACAGCGAGTCCCGTTCAAGATGAATAGGAGCTGCTGTCGGTCTTGGTATCCCTTCTTTCCATACAGTCGAGCTCGATTGGAGAGGACACGCGAGAAGACACAAGACCCTTGCGAGGGCCACATTGCCACAGGAATGTAGAAGGCAAGGGTCGCTCGCTAACCACAGGATATTAGATACAAGAGCTTAGATGATGTGAAAAACGCTGGGGGGATGTGTTAGTTTGGGGTACGTTGTTTTTCTGTGTTGGGATTCTCGTTCGCGCCGTTTTCGGTTCGGCCATGTTGTGTACTGTCATTTGCTTTTCTGTGTTGGGCCGTCGTTGATTTCGATTTGGTTGGCCGAAAACCGAAATTAGCCTGGCGAAGAACCCAACCATATGCAGTTGTCAGTACCGCAGCTGCGGGTTTCATCTTCAGTGGAACTCCCCATAGGACTACGGAACGTGTGAGGGGTGTGTCGAGATGGGTGCCACTGGGGCATTCGGCGAAGCTCCCTATGGGGACATGAAACACGCGCGGGGCGTGCCGACATGGGTGGCGGAAACGCATGTGAGGGCCGCCACTGGGGCCTCCAGTGGAGCTCCCTATGGGTCCCCGAAACATGATGCTGCTGCGGGGGGGGTGCCGGGATGGGTGGCGGAGACGCATGTAAGCGCCGCTACTGGGGCCTTCGGTGGAGCTCCCTATGGGGCCACGAAGCGCGTGAGGGGTGTACTGGGATGTGTGGCGGGGACGCATGTGAGCGCCGCCACTGGGGCCTTCGGTGCAGCTCCCTATGGGGCCACGAAACGTGTGAGGGGTGTGCCGACTTGGGTGCGGGTGGTGACGCATGCGGGCGGTGCCACTGGGGCCTTCGGTGGAGCTCCCTATGGGGCCACGAAACCTGTTGTTGTGAGGGGCGTGCCGTGATGGGTGGCGGGGACGCATGTGAGCGCGGCCGCTGGGGCCTTCGGTGGAGCTCCCTATGGGGCCACGAAACGTGTGAGGGGTGTGCCGAATTGGGCGGGTGTGGGTGACGCATGTGAGCGCCGCCACTGGGGCCTCCGGTGGATGATGGGGCCACGAAACCTGTGAGGGATGTGCCGAAATGGGTGCGCGGGACTCATGCGCATGTGAGCGCCGCCACTGGGGCCTTCGGTGGAGCTCCCTATGGGGCCACGAAACGTGTAAGGGGTGTGCCGAATTGGGCGTGCGTGACGCGGGCCTTCGGTGGGGCTCCCTATGGGGCCACGAAACGTGTGAGGGGTGTGCCGAATTGGGTGTGCGGGACACATGCGGGCGGCAGCACTGGGGCCTTCGGTGGGGGACGAAAAACGTGTGAGGGGTGGCCGATTGGGGTGTGCGGGACGCATGCGGGCGGCAGCACTGGGGCCTTCGGTGGGGCTCCCTATGGGGCCACGAAACGTGTGAGGGGTGTGCCGAATTGGGTGTGCGGGACGCATGCGGGCGGCAGCACTGGGGCCTTCGGTGGGGCTCCCTATGGGGCCACGAAACGTGTGAGGGGTGTGCCGAATTGGGTGTGCGGGACGCATGCGGGCGGCAGCACTGGGGCCTTCGGTGGGGCTCCCTATGGGGCCACGAAACGTGTGAGGGGTGTGCCGAATTTGGGTGTGCGGGACGCATGCGGGCGGCAGCACTGGGGCCTTCGGTGGGGCTCCCTATGGGGCCACGAAACGTGTGAGGGGTGTGCCGAATTGGGTGTGCGGGACGCATGCGGGCGGCAGCACTGGGGCCTTCGGTGGGGCTCCCTATGGGGCCACGAAACGTGTGAGGGGTGTGCCGAATGGAGTGTGCGGGACGCATGCGGGCGGCAGCACTGGGGCCTTCGGTGGGGCTCCCTATGGGGCCACGAAAACGTGTGAAGGGTGTGCCGAAATGGAGGATGATGACGATGATGATGATGATGATGATGATGATGATGATGATGATGATGATGATGATGATGATGATGATGATGATGATGATGATGATGATGATGATGATGATGATGATGATGATGATGATGATGATGATGATGATGATGATGATGATGATGATGATGATGATTGATGATGATGATGATGATGATGATGATGATGATGATGATGATGATGATGATGATGATGATGATGATGATGATGATGATGATGATGATGATGAGATGATGGAGGAGGGAGGAGGGGGAGGAGGAGCGGGAGCGTGAGCGGGCGCCACAGGATGGTTGGGAAATATTACAATATAACAAAATGCCGCCACTGTTTTGTTACATCACCTGAATACAAGGAGCACCCTTGATTTGGCAGGGTCGCCCAACTAAGAAAACTCGACTGCGCCCAGTTCGGTCGTACCGATGCTGGGGAGACCAGGAGGCACCGATACCGCTGCTCCAAGGACCTCTCCCCGGGCGCGTTCTGACCAGGACCTTCCAGGCGAGTCCAGCGGTGACGACGAGGGCCTCGCAGGAGGCCCAAAGAAAGGCAATTTCGCGAGGGAAGGGCAGCGGTGCGGGCACCTCTAGAAGAAGAGAAAACGCCATAAAATAAACGTTGAGCGCTCCGTGCGGAGTTCCTGGGATCTGCGCCAGACCCCCCCTCCCTGGCGCGCGGAGCGCGCCAGGGGCGGCACCGGAGGCGCCGCCAGGGGGGGGAACCCAGCGCGGACCCATAAAATCCACGCGGCGCGCTCAAAGTTTACGTTCATGGCGTTTTTTCTTCTTCGAACCTCCTGCCTCCTCCGAGGCGCGGGAGCGTCTGGCCGCCACTGCCCGGGGGCCGGGGAGGCGGCGGCGGCCAGGGAGCGGCCAGCATCAGGTCGGGCATGTCCTCCGACAGGCGGATTTTGGAAGAAACTGAAGGATGAGGGAACAATGCTCGCTTTGCCCAGATATCTACATATATATATGTGAAAAACTATATATAAGTTGTTTATGTGTATATATATAAGTTTTAAACAAAAAACGTTACTGGATGCTCCTCCTGTAGAGGGACCTGCCCGCCTCAGGGCCAGCCGCGCGGGGCGCGGCTCCGGCGCGGGCGCCGCACCAGGGCGGCTCGGCCCGCGGAGCGCGGGGGCGCCCTTGCAGAGGCTCCCGCCGCGCTCTCAGCACGCCTGGGCGTCCTTCGGGCGGCGCGCACCCACCGTGTCCTCCTCCTCCTCCTCCTCCTCCTGGTCTAACCAGCCTCGAACGTATCCCTACAGGCCTCGGAACAAATTAGCGAACACATGCCACATTCATCCGTCAACGCCTCCCCTTCCCCCCAAATGTTCAAAGTTGGCGGTGGGTCTGATCAGACGCGCTTCGACCGCCGTCTCCCCCGCGCGTGCCAGCGTTGAGCTTGGGGGGGAGGGGGAGTGTTCAGTAATTGTTTCCCTCTACCGTATCCCTAAGATGGGCGAGCAAAAAGCGAGGACAATCTTAGGGACAGGACAACATGGGGATAGGGATATGTTTCAAACTGGTGGTGATCCTCAGAATGACGAACCAACAACACACACCCATATCCATAGGGGGATGCGTGTTGTCGGATGGGGGTCCCCGCTCGAACGGGAGCGTTCCCCAGGGTCCGACAACCCGCACCCATACCCATAGCCAGTCCACCTCCCAACGACCCCCCTATGGGTATGGGTGTGTGTTGTCCGTTCGTCACAGAACGCGTGTGAGCCCCAGCGTATATTTGTCCATTGCTCGAAGCTGGGCGAGGGCTGCTACAACCGTGGCTGCCAAAGCGGCCCTCTCCCGGAAGGAGAAAAAACAGCTTCCCGGAACGAGGCGCGGCGCGCGAAACAGGCCACGGGCTTCTTCCCGGAAGGACGAAGACAACTTCCCGGAGGTCGATTTTAGCAGCCACGGATCTAGCAGCCCTTGCCCGGCTTCCGACTTGAGGCCCTTCGACACGACCCAGGCGATGGAATGGCCCACTGATTGGGCTGAAAGAGGTAAACACACGTTGGGCCAACACACGCCCTGAGGATCATCGAACCCAGGGGGGCACCGTCAGCCCGCATCGTGAGGATGCGGGGTAAGGGATGCACGGGCCTTGGAGCATCATATTTAGGGGAAAGAAGAATGACATAAACATAAGAACTCGGAGGTCCGCGCGGACTCCTCGGATCCGCGCTGGGCCCCCCCTGGCGGCGCCTCCGGCGCCGTCCCCGGCGCGCAGAGCGCGCCAGGGAAGGGGGTCCAGCGCCGATCCGAGGAATCCGCGCGGACCTCCGAGTTTGTATGTTTGTGTCATTCTCCGTTCCCCTAATGGTAGCGTTCTTCGCACGACTCTGGCCAGCGAAAGCCGCTATGAGGGCAGGCGGGAGAGGCAAGGATGCAGGGCCGCCCTTGGAAAGGCTGCCCATCCTTCCTATGCGGGCTGACTGCATGTGGGGGAGAGGGGGGGACTTCTTAGAATAGAGGCCTCCTGGATGGGTTCGGAGTAGATGGGGTCGGAGGATCGCGCCGCATCGGCGATGCATCGGCGATGCATCGGCGATGCACCGGCGATGCACTGGCGACGTCGGCGATGCATCGGCGACGTCCGCGTGAAGAAAATCGGGCTCCGCAACGAGCCGCATCACCGATGCATCGGCGATGCGGCGCGACGCTCTGGCCAAAAGTATCTGCTCGGATCCCATCTGGGATGGCCTAGATGGAAGGAGGCTGCCTCTTAGAAGGCGCTGGCCTTACATCTATAGACAGGGCCCGCGCCTTCTGAGAAGCGGCTTCCTTCCAAGCAGCCTCCCCCCTCCCTCGCCCTACCCCCAGGAGCGCGCAACCGATCCTGCCCGACGGACTCCTTCAGGTAGATGCCCCAGATCACGATGAGCACCTGAAGGCAGGGCGGCGAGATCTATACTCGGCGGTGGACAAGCCTCACTTTAGTAGACCTCCCCTTCATGAAGACGGCCTGGGACCGAAACCGACGGACCTGGACCCGCAAAAATGACGGCCGCGACGCCCTCTCGCGAACCGATAACGGCCAATTCCTGAATCGACGTGTCAGGGTAGGAGGTCTGTCCACCCCCGATATACATGCCCACTGCCCCGTGGCTGGGCCCATCCTGGA